GTTATCAATTTATATGATACGATCATGTGATATGCATAATAATATCTTTCACGTTATAGCTCTATTAAACATAGCGCTTGTGAGAATATTTATTAAGGTTGTAGAAGATTGTGTGTGTGTTAGTTTGATTGGGCAATGTTTCGATAAATTCAAGATATCGAAGGGGTAGAGAAAATATTGCGATATCGAAGCGAGAGATCGAGATACTTGGATAAAGTATATCGTTAGCACGAGTGTGTCAGGCGCGCGTGAGCGTCGCGGAGCGCACCGAGACCGCAAATAACTGTTTCCGTTGGAATCCTGCGGCCTGCACCTTGCCATCGGCCGCGATATCAACGCCTTGACGCGCCGTATTTAAAGCGTATTACCGGCGAGAGGCCGTCTCGAGTGGGTCATCGATCCTCGGCGTGCAACTTTTCGCTCTCCCTCGCGATCGCGATAAGCTTCGCGCGGCACGCCGAGTTCGCTGATAATCGCGACCGCGATACGATACGACGTAATACAGGCCGAAGAAGCGAATATTCGCTCGAGCGTGTGAAATCGAAATGCATCGTTTGAGGACACTTGGATGGGAGATCTGTTCTTGTCAGCGTTTAATTTTTTAATCGTCTTTACATTGCGAATCGGCGAGAAAAAGAGAAAGATTGTTAAACGATATTACTATTCGAGCTTGAAGAGTCGTTCGAAACGTGCACCCTGTGGTCGCGTCACTCGTCATCTGTAGTAGCGAGCCACCGTGTGTCGGTGGGCGACCGATGGCGGCGGCTGTACACACCTTCCTTCCGGCCTTCCTTTCCCAGGAAGTGGAGTCAAGTGAACCCGCCACCACCGCCACCGCCGCCACCGCCGGAAACTCCGCTAATGACTAAACTTGCTAATTTCGGCCAATTAGGCTTCCAACGCTCCCACCACGCCCGTCCCGTTTTCGACGTTTCCTGATCTCCGCCTGCTCGACTGCCTTGTGTCTAATGCCCGCCGCACTTACCTTGACCGATAGACGCTAATTTTATTGCGCACTGCGGCTCGCATATTATTCCCGTAGCAGTCCCATTTCGGGAGGTTTGATTACAAACCTCAAAACGGCAACATTATCTCACTGTGTATTTTAAGTAATGATCTATAAAATTTGCACGTCAGAAAAATTATATGCCCATATGTGTGTGTGTGTGTGTGTGTGTGTGTGTGTGTGTGTGTGTGTACATTTATATATCATTATTATATACATCATTATATATTTTATTTTATATTATCTTGTACATATACTCTCAAATTACCATTTTTATTACGTTTTAAATTATGGTCATTGTATACTCATTTGGTTGTCTAAGGCTACTTATCCATGAGATCAATTTTAAAAATTAGTCTATACGTTTCCGGAGGAACATAAGTATATCACATACATGTAGGGACTTAAATAGAAACTACAACAGTGTATATATATATTGGCGGCGATACTGGGTTCGACTCTTGACGGTCCCCATAAATATCTGACGTTGGCAGTTCGTTACTTTGTGCCACGTGAGTTTCAAACCGACCATAATACCCGATATTCCTCGGTGAAACATTCTACCGACTAATAATCGTAGCTGTCAATTTATCTTTTTCTACTTAATTTCAAGGAGTATATAAAAAATGCATACGTGCGTGTAAACACATACATATAATTGTACTATTTATCTCATAAACAATAATTTTGTCCAAATAGATTTTAAGAGATTCATAAATCTAAATTTATCTTTAATTTAAGATCATAATTTTTTTTTTAAATTATATTTTAGGAAAGTAATTTTTGTTATTCAAGAACGTAAAAAGTAATGAACCTAAAAATTCTTGTAAAGTTAACAAACCAAATCCGGCTTTTAAAGATCTCTAAGAAGGGGCAAAGAACAACTTAGCGCTCGAATTGTTCCGATTTGAAATTTCTAAGGATTGCGTCAAACAAATTCAGCGAACATGGCGGGCCAATACATGGAAGAAAGCCGCTTTCTTCCTTCGTCTGGATTCCTCAGTAATTGCGTGCCATGGTCCCTCGTTGTTGTTCCTCTCTTCGTCCGCCTGTTTCATTGGTCCGAGGAGGAGATCGCGCGCGCGCACGCCTTTTCATTTGTGCTCCCTCCTAGAATACACTTATAATAGGTGAACCGTGCGTGGCAAACAGGGAAGAGGCCGCCGCGACGTGCCTAATCACTATAATCGTCCTCGCCAATAATTAGATTATTTTCAGTGTCTTCCAGTGTTGTCCTTCTCTCACCGGTGATTACCAAGCTGAACTTATCATTACATCCCCACATCGATCCCCTACTCGCCTCGGGCGTGTCCTAAGGGAATGACCATGTTTTTTTGTGCGGGACCAGGGTAACAATCTAAGACATTTGATATTTTCTCGAAAAGCGAGATTAAAACATTGTAAGTTACTCTGACTAGAAGCTTTGTAAATTTATTATTACAAAAAATAGAAGCAGAGAGAAAGAGAGAGAGAGAGAGAAAGAGAATAGAAAGGTTATTTTACTTCATCGGTATAAAATAATATATCTGAGAGAATTGTATTATAGATGTTTATTTGAAGAAAGTCACGGCTGGACTAATTAAATGAATTAATAAAGTTGTAAATTTGTAATAAATCACCAAGAATTCTAGACACAAATTTCTCTCGACATTCTAGCCATAACGAAGTGGTCGTAATTTTAAGAATTCTCCCCGACATCAATTGATTCTGACGCACTTCCAGAATGCGTTTCGGTATTTGTGAGTTCATAACGTTATTTATTATGTCATTAAAGTTTATTTTATCATTTGATTTTATTAATAGTCATAAGAAATATTTCAATTCAATTCGGATGCGGGCGATGTAAAACGCGACCAGTCGAAAAGAAATTTTCTCAATAGAAGAGAGGATTGGATGTCCCTCCTTCTTTGGCAATTTAACTTTTCTCAGCTATTATTACAAATCACTGTATCACTTTATATTTTATATTAATTCAAAAAAATAATGTTATTAAACGTAACCGATACACTCGATTCACGTTCGAAATAAGAAAGAAGATGTAAGCGTCCTTGAAACGCGTTCAAAGAGCAAACCGCCATCAAGGGATTCGCGTTTCATTCACCGGAATGTAACATTCCTCCCCCGTCAGCTGAGGGCCGCCATTAATCCTTAGGCTGACTTTCTTTCCGTTCGCTGTCGTACAGAACGGGGCGTCCTCGTTATCGGCGCTTATCGCTAATAAGATCGCTGGACCGCTCGTTATCGTCGTCGTCGCACTCGCCCTGTCCTCATTTTCGTACGATTGCGATCGTTAATTATCCCTATCACAGCCGATCGCCCTCCTCTTTTGCCTTTCTCCCCCCTTTTCTCCTCCACCCACGCGCTTTCGTCGTTCTCCTCGTCATTATCATTCCGGTAATTACCGGTGTATTCCCTCGTTATCATCTTGTTATCGTTCGGCTATCGCGCTTCCGCGAGGAGGAACGAGTGTCTCCGGAGAGGTCAGGCCTCGTAAACGGCGTGGGAGAGTGCTGATAACGAACGAACTGAGAGTATCGGTGTATGCTTGAAATTAAATCGACGCGCGAATCGATTTTAATTGATCTGGTATAAATCGGTGTTATATCAATCAGCTGCACTTTATTTATACATATAACTATTGCACCTTGATTTACATCGCGTTCGATGAATTACCCTTGATTATATATTATTATTAGATACTACGATAATCGATGATGATCCAAATCGCTGGTAGATTCATGAACTAAGTGCCGACGCGACACGCGCGAAACTTAAGTAACCATATTAAGAAGAAGCGGACATACATACAGAAACGCGGAGCAAGCGAGTCAGTAAGGGCATTAATGCATCGGAGATTTATGTGGTAACGGCGAGGATGAAATTCCATCGCGGTAGGTGCTCGTATAAGTGGCACGCTGCTCGCTGGCGGAGGCGCGAGAGTTATGGTTGCCCATACTGATATCCACTATAAACTCTCCCCTCCACCCACCCCCGCTGTCTGCCTTCTCCGCGCGTTCTCCTACGCTCCCTCTCTCTTTCTCTTTCTCTTTCTCTTTCCCTTTCTCCCTCCACCACGGCATACTTAATTAAATACGTATTAAGAGCCTGAGTGTGTTCCAATGTACCGATGTGCGCTTGCATCGTGGAATAATATATGCTTCAGCGCGCGCGCGCTAATTACTTTCTCCCACCGAGGGTCGCGCACACCGATATTTTTACTTTCCCTGCGTACAATGGGACTACATTTATCGAAATAAAGCGCACGAAACGCGTTCTCCCCCTTAAAAGAATTTTTCAATATTATATACGTGAATGCGAATTTATTATCAATTATTGCTATAAAAAACGTCCTTTTATTATTTATTAATCATTATGTGCGTGTATATATGGTGAATTGGTTAATTTTACTGAAAAAAGATGCTAAGGCCTAAGAATTCGGGGAAGAATCCCGTAAGACCTTTGGCTGCTCTTAAAATCGGCCGAATAAAGGGCGCTCGTTACTTTTGTCCCGAGGGACAAAAAGACAGAAGTTTCGAATAGAAGGTTGATCGGCACCCGCAGGGTTACCAGGACCATTATTGTTAATTAAGGTGGGCGTGTCCCGCAGATCACACTTGTCAGTTCCATGGTTTCCATAATAAGTCGGGTTTCATGAATTCTAATGTACCTTTTAAGTTAACAAAATTTTTTTCCGTTTGCATTTGAATTCGATGACTTTCGTATTGCGCTATAAACAGCCACGTGGGTAAGATTTTTTAAATATAGCGAGAATAATATGCAAGAAATTATATTTTATATAGTATTAATTATTATATGATAATTAGGAAAAATTCTCCTTAATTAATAAATGATCACCGAGAAAAATAATCGATGTCTCGATCTATCACATTTGTTGATTTAACACGATAACGATTGTAAGATTTAAACACTGATACTTTTATATGAAATTTAAATCAATCAGCTTAAAAAAGACGCTTTTATTTTATCGTTACAGGTTTCATCAAAGTACCGGAAGAAAAACACCGGTGCCGGAATTCAATAGAGCGCCGTAAAGCTCTTTCCTTCTCTATTTCGCCGTTGGAAACCGTCGGTGGGCTCTTTGAGCCCACCCTCTCATCGGTCAAACTGGCGAGCGCGTTAACCGCTGGCATGAACCCCCACCATCCGGGCCATTCCGCAGCCTACCCTCACCATCCCTCGCTCTCGAGCAGTCCGCATCATCCGGGGCCCGGCGGGCCGCATCACGCATACGGAACTGGCGGAAGGGGCAGCGGCAGCGGCGGTAGCGGCGGCGGCACGACGACCACCCCCGACTTGCCAAGCCCGCATTCACCCCCGCATGCCGGCGGTGCCGGCGATCCCGCTACCCCCTATGGCGCCCTGCAGCCCGGACAGGGCATGGGCAGCAACGGGCATCATCATGGTGGCGGCGGCATGATGCCGGATCATCCGCATCACCCCGGACACCCCCATCCGCACATGCCGGGACACCCCGCGTATCCACCAGTTAACCACAATAACAACTGCACGCTCAAGGTGAGTACCAGATTTTTGAAAGAACCTGCGAAAAATTTTATATTATTATTTGCGTCTCTTCGCGAGAAACGTTATTTTAAATGTCGCGAAATTTTTTACATTATATTTTATATTATACGCGAACCTGAAATTCAATATCTCGTGCGATATTGAAGCGAAGCGGGTACAGGTAGTTTCAAAGACGCGGCGAAGAGTCCCTAAGGCCCTTCGCAAAGGACCCAAGAACGGCATAACGTAGGATCACAGGCTACGATTCAGCAGATATTGTCGGTTCGTCCGACCCTCACTTACCCCGCTATTGACAAACGTAACAATGTAGGCATTTATGATGGAGAAATATAATTGAATAGGGGCGGAGGGGAGTCTGTGCGCGCGCGGTTTCCTCTTGTAGCTTTCTGCTTGATGCTTTATATCTGCCCTTCCTCTTTCTCTCTCTCTCTCTCTCTCTCTTTCTTTCTGTCTTTCCCCCACACAAGATTCTGTCTCTTCCTGTGACTGTACGTTGCTTCTTCAACTCTTATTCTTTATTCGTCTCTTTCTATGCTGACTGTACTCTCTCTTCCGGTTTCCATTTAAATATCCAAAAATCTGTACGTCTGTTGCCTGTAATTTGTGAATTATTTTTTAGTACTTTTAATTTTGCACTAATTAATGCTGTCTAGCGTGACAATTTCTCATTTGCTCAACATTTTCGTGTGATTATCACTGATTTTGTCCATTAATTCTTTGGATATAATTTACAAAGTTTGATATTTATTATCCGAATTTTTGAGGAATTATGATTTATTTCTTCTTTTGCGAAAAAAATAACTAAAATCGTAGGATTCTACTTTGACTACGGTTGTTTGAGAAGACGATAATAAAAGCTTAAATTTTTAAGAAATTATTTTTTTACATATCTAAAGAATATATATAGAATGTGAGAGAAAAATTATCAAAAAATAACGTTATTATATCCATTTTGGGATTCAAAATTTTTCTTTTCATACATTATAAAATTTTTGATTTTTTAAGTTTTACAACTATTTCAAATTCTAAAATTTGTATCCAATTTGTAATGCACGCTATTGGTTGCTCAAATTATTATTCTTGAATATTGTATTATTATTCCTTTTTTGAGATTTGGATAATTATAGATATTTTAATTGTTCTATATTCTTTTGTATCTCTATTTTTTTGGCACTCTTCTTCTTATTTTTCTCTACAGATCTCTATGTTCTGCCTTTCTTGTATTTACATCTTATCCTTCTATATTTTCTGTTCATGTCGTTTCTGATTCTCATCTCTCTGTTTTTCTATTCCTCCGACTTTACATCTTCTTTGAATTTTTAATTCATCCATTCTACATGTTTCTATTTCTCTCTACGCTTTATATTCTCTCTTTTTTTCTCATTTTCTTTCACTATTTTTTTTCCTTTCTCCATATCGTTTTTCTCGTCTTATTTTGTTATTTTTTTATTTTGCATATGCTATATTTTCGATTTTTTCAATCATTGTAATACATAACGTATCCGAAAATCTGCCGCAACTTTCGCTTTATACAACTTTGTAAGACTCAGGCACTTAGGGAGCCTGTCCCAGAATATACCCCTCTTACACCTCCACCTCTCTCCTTGTCTCTTTTCCATTCTCTTTTTCTCTCAACCGCTGCTATGGAAAAGACCCCCTTCCTCTTTCTCTCCCCTTCTCTGCCGCCCGAGTCTTTCTCTCTCTTACACACAAACACACGGTCCTCCGTTCACCTCCCCTCCCGGTCCACTTGATTCCCCTCCCCCTCGCTTCGTCGTTCCCTCTTACCATCTTTATCTGGCATTCTCTCTCAACGTTGGTTGGGTCCTTTCTAGGCTTGCCTTTTTATCCTCCCCACTCGAGCCAAGGTACCTGAACCCGCAGGCCCGCAAGGCATTCGGGGGCCCGCAGCACCAGCCAGTTGGGTCCTGTCTGCGCTCCGCTTCGTTTCGTTTCGCTCTCTCGCTTCCTTTCTGCGCGCGCGTCCATGACTGCATCGCGCAAGGGAACGCGTCGCCGAAAGCGGCGAGTTTCGTGAAGATTTCGCTCGTTGCTCGTGATCGTGGCGCTTCGTCATTGGTTCCGTAGAGCCAAAAAATTGACCAGAGGATCCTGATCTTTGAAATCTCGTCGATCGCGGTGGGGGAAAGTGAGTGTACCGCAACGGGAACTTCTTGTTGTTCGAGGCCGCGAGTGATATCCATCGGCCGAGTGAATCCGTGCGGCCCAGGATCGGATTTTTCCTCTTTTTTTTTTTTCTTTTCTTTTTTCCGTTCTTTTCTTCTTCGTACTGTGCGTTCGACACGGAGTGAGTGTATCATGGAAGTCCAATACCCGTATCACTACAATACAATCGCGCGGATGGATAAGTGGTTTCCCGCTAATATCAAGACAGAAATTAAAGTAAGCATAAACGAGGGAATTTTTGCGGGAAACACATTTTTTGGAGTGTACGATCCTTAACGCGACAAATAAACACATCCGCTCTCGTATCCGCGGTATACGTCGAATGCGTATTCGTGTGCGTATCCAACTGATACATTGCTATTGTGATTTCCAAGTTGATAATAAGAATCTAAAAATAAATTTCTAATTATGTTAAGTTTTTGAACCAATACATAGAAGTCTATTCGCTCCAACAACAACGCATTTGTTTTGTATTATTTATCAAATCGACGGTTCGGATTTTTTAATTATCCAACAATTTCTTTTTTTTTTTTTTTAACCTATATAAATAATACAAACGAAACAACTACTTTCACACACATTGCTATAGACTTTTCTTATTTTCTCCATCGTTATGTTTTTATTTAAATGTAAATAAAGAGAAATCGCCAAATATGTGAGACTATTGCTGTTGTTGTTTTGCCGATTTAATGATAAACTGAGGCAATGTAATACAATATTGAGCAACATTGTTCAAAGTGAAATTAGTGAGTAAGTTGTAAATCCCGCGAGTGAAGAGTTACGTTCGCCTACGTTCGTGTGTTTGCATAATCACGAGTAAGCATTCATAATAAGCGCGCACTTAAGACGTCGTAATGATTTAGTGCCCGTTAATGACTTTCTGTTTCGCATTAATTACCACGATGCTTGAATTTCTACTTATAATGGGGTAGGAATGATTTCTAAGACATGTTGCAACTCCTCGTACACATCTTTAAAAAATATTTCTTATCATCGTCGCGTCTTTATCGTAAACTCGTGTTTGAATTTCATAATCGACTATTTTTTCCTGCTGTCTCGAATCGAGAGGACGTACGCTAGTAATTTCGATCGATATAAATCAGTCTAGTCTGCAATTTATAAATTTAGCGGTTACGGTGTACATTCGCCTGACAACTAACAAAATGAAAATGTTATATTGTAGCAAGAAGGCGGTCCAAGCGGGTCAACAGGCCTTCGGCACTGCGCCGGCTGCGGTGTACAAATAGTGGAAAGATGGCTGCTGCTAGCGATGGATCAGTACTGGCACATTGGCTGCCTCAAGTGCACGTATTGCCAAGTTGTATTGGGGGAAATCGGCCAGTCCTGCTACACCAAAAGCGGCATGATTCTCTGCAAGGCCGACTACAGACGGTAAGTCTACCGCCTGTTTGCCCTGTCTTGTGCGTTAAATATATCTGTGACATCCGTCACAGGATTAATAGAAAATTATTTAAGAAATTTGTTTCAAATAAAAAAAAAAAATTTCTCTTTCGGCTGTATATAAGAAGGGTTCTCGGTATTTAGACGACACTACGTAAACACCGGAACGCAACCTTCTTCGGCGTATCGCCTCTTATCGCGTTGAAGAGCTGATAACGATGGTCACTCATGAATAAGCTAGAAATTATCGCTTCCATTAAATTAGGTACTACGTCGCGCACGGCATCGAATATTCCGTTCTGCCAGCGCAAGCGCGACTCTGCGCGACCAACAGAATTGCGCCGTCTAATTTCTTGAAACTAATAACGACGCGCTCAACGTTTCGTTATTAATAATAAACACTGTTATTGTGCCGGGTCATTACAACTAATTTATCGTGATACTTGCCGCGCGTTCGTTTATACCGCGCCGGGATTCCTGGGAGCCAATATCGTGTAATCAACATTCCTCTCGTGCAAAATAGCCGCGGACTAGGATGTTGCTGTTTTACGTCATATCTTGTAATTATACTTGCCTTCTCTTTTCGATAGCTTCGGCCGATTATTACTCACCGTGCTGTTGAAATATATCAAAGAGTATGTAGACTAAACTCTGCCTAAACTCCGAAGAATTCGAAGAGATTTAAATATATGTGAAAATTTCTCGAAATCGAAGATTTCATGTGACTTAAATAACGAGAAAACTAAGATTAATTCAGAGAGATGCGAATGTAGAAAATTAAGATATCGGAAATACGATAAGATAAATAGAAAATTATAACAATACAAAAATAAAATGGACAAGTTCTAATAAAAGCAAATAATTGCGATATTTATATCATGCGTGTTTAACTCAAGCGATATCGAGTATCGAAAAGACGTCGGAAAAAAATAAGACGTATTTTAAATATTTTTACCATGTTTTTTCGACACTTGCATTTTGTCGGACTATTATGATTCCATTATACTTGATACAATATGCACATCTCTCGCCAATCGTTTATCAATGAATGTCCGAAAACTTTGGCATTGCCGCGCCACGATGAATATGCACTTAATCGGCGTAGCCGTTCCAAATTTAGAGGATTCGAGGTCAGAGCGCAATTTAATGAGAAACAGACGCTGAACTTAGTTAGTCCCCCCGAAATAGATCGGCACAACCTGGCCGGGCCGCACGTACCGGAGGTAATGGAACTGTCAGTCTTTTTTTTTTTTTTTTTTTTTTACTCATCAACCGGTTATATCCGCACGAGGAGCGACATTTCTTGCATTTTACGTTGCAGTTAAACACGCTCCTCCAGTTGTGTTTCTATATACGTTTCATAATAGTATAATACCGCAGCTAAAACATTATTATGTAATACGAGAACACTAAAAGTAAAAGGAAGGCATTGATATAGACATGAGCAGGTAGTTTTGTGATTGATCACATCGATCGCTACGCTAACATTAGTATTTCAATCTCACCGGTCCTTTCCTTATCGCGCGATTGCTATTACTCGACCATAGTACACGTACGTTCTAATCTGTTGGCATAGGCGAGCGATTTAGTCCGGCCTAGTATCAATATTTGACTACGAGACGCCTCCGTCCTCGGGATGGGTCTAACATCGTCTATTCCGATGCCCACCGGTTTGCTTTCTTCCTTTCATCAAAAAATCAGAGACACGATAGATTTTTTTTTTTTTTTGGAAAATTTATTCATTTGGAACTAATAATTAAAAATAAGAAATAGAAAAAGTATTATCAAATCGTCAGAGAATATGAAGTACGAGGATGAATTGAAGAAATTTATAAACATAACGAAGATTACAGAACGCTCTCTTTATTTTTTCTCTTTCTCTCTTTCTCTCTCACACACACATACACACATACAGATATGATATATACTCTCAATCTTATATTTATTAAAAATTACAATTAACAGCCAATCTAAATTAACAAATCGGCATTTGAGAGGATGTATACACGCATCAGACTCGCCTATGATCCTCGCTTGAGGCAACAATGGCACGCTCTTGCGGAACATTCGGTACATCATATCGCGCTAAGCGCTTTATACCCCTCTGCGCAGCTTTACAATCAAACTACTGTCGGAATTGAAACCAACCGGTTGTCTCGAAACACACCATCGGTGTCTCATGTACGAGAGACTGCGACTGCTTCGTCGAAAAGAGAACGACGGATATATCCGCGCGAGCCGAGTGGATAGACAGATGGATGGAGAGGATAGCGCGCGCGGTGCGATTCGGAAAGATAGCGGGGAGGTTGAGGAGAGGCGAGATAGAAGGGATGGCGGTTCGTTTCTTTTGGATTCAAGGAATGTTTCAATCAGTTTGATTGAAGGGCTGAGCCACGGCAAGAGGGTAAACTCGATTTACAGCCGTGTAGGAGGGATGGCGCGGTGGACCAGGACGGAACGGAAGGAGAGAGAAAGAGAGAGAGAGGGATAGAGAAGGGAGAGTGCAGAGGGGTGGATGGTGGGTGCCACAATCACCGAGATGCGTCCAATCACCCCCAGCCCCCGACGCCATCGGGTTTCGGGCGTACGGACGAGGGCTTGAAGGGATCGAGGAAAAGGGGGATGACAGAGAGAGAGAGAGAGAGAGAGAGAGAGAGAGTGCGGCCAATCATCGCTCGGCTTTCCGCTGGAGCGACGTCGTCGTGATGCTGGTTTGTCCTAGATGTGCAATCAGACGGCTTCCAGCCCTCTAGCTTGCTCTGCTGGCTCCTTCTCCCTCCATCTTTCTGGCCGAATACCAAATTCCAGCAATTTGGTAGGTAGGTACTTTGTTGAATCAACATGATTGGGCTTGACGGAGCTCGGCGACGCGCCATGCCGCGTAGTTCCGCGACGAGCGACGGCGACGAGCCGCCGAGACGAGGACAAACCGGCGAAACGTCGAACGGGAAGACGAATAGACTGCCTTCGCAATCTTTTTCAGAACGGACAATGTTTTAATAATTTTTGTGATTGGATCTCATTTTTTATTTTGAATCGATCGAGAATTTAATTTGAGCCCGACATAGTCTTCATGATAATAGGATGATTAATAATTGAGAATTAACGTAATTATATCACGTCGTAGAGATTAATACACACACATGCGCGGTATATATAGGAATATGTATGAGAGAAAGAGAGAGAGAGAGAGAGGTTGTGTAGTATTTCTTGAATTAAAAAACTTTATAAATATATATATCTTTTTTAAAATATTTATATAAAAAGTTTTTTTCATTCAAGAAGAGATAAGAGAGAGGGAGCACCATTTAAGCTGAAGAAATAAAATAATAGATGATAGTGAAACATAATAATGAAACACATATTTCATTCATGTATAACAATGGTATAACATTAGAATAACGAAAGCAATAGCATAGGAGTAATAGCAGCAACGATGATAACAGAAAGAGAGAGAAGGAGAGAGACTGTCAATCGCATTCGCGCGAAAGAGAACACAACGTATTTTCCGCGCTCGATTCAGCCCGCATCGCATTGAGGGCGGCACGTACGTAGACGGTAGGTCGCCGGAGGTGCTGAGGGAAACGAAGAAGAGGGCGAGAGTCGGAGGAGTTGGGGGAGGGAGGACGGCGGCACCGGCGATAAGGGGTTCATTAGAGGCAGTTTATTACTGCCTTTGAAGTCTCTCGCGTGTTGCCGTTAAGTCGCTCGATATCTCGTAATATCTCGCTCTAATCTCGCGAGGAGAAGTTAATTGCTACCTTCACCCCCGCCACCTTCTCACCTCCGGCCGACCTGTGCGCCCCTATCGCGCTCGTCGCGCCAACTTTCCGCCACCACCCCCGGGGGCTCTCTCCCTCTCACCCTCACACATGTCGCCTTTACAATTAGACGCTTAATTCGGGCCACCGGCAGGCTGAAATTTTCACCACCCCGCCCGCCCTGCTTCCCTCGCCCTGCTTCCCTCGCCCTCGTCTCTCACCCGCTTCGACCGCGGCTCGAGTCGGAAATTTCCTGCCCTTGGTCAGCAACCATCCGTGCCGTTCCTCGAACTTGGTAATTTCTGAGTTCGACGAACGTATACGCGCGGTCGCGTGAATATCCAAAAACGCCGTAGAAGACTCCGTAAGATGAATAGAATTACAAGATGTAATGAAGGATTGTTGCAACTTTGAAAATGTAACTATTATAATTGGAAGAACTTACTTGGTTTGATTAAACGGATACTTTGTTTGGAGCGTCAATGAACAGAAAAAATTATGGATATTTTTGCAGTGATTTAGAATTGCATGAAAACACTTAGCCCTCGTTTTAAATTCAATTAATGTACGGTACTACTATAAAAATGCAGTAGACAGGCAAGATCGTTGAAAGAAAAGACAATGTCTCATGATGATGATTATCAAAATAATCATGAAATAAAATGCAGAGTGATTTAAATTAAATTACAATCGCAGTAACATACGACAACTTAATTGAACATTGCCATTCCTACACTTTTGCTTGAAATTTGAATATGTAAAATATAGTTTGCCTAGCAATAATCGCTTTTACTTGTTTAATTAATATTATTATTGTTCTTTATCGTGTTTGAAAAATAACGTTTATAAAAATTTTTATATGTCTCGTACAAACTCTTTCTCTCTCTATTTCTCTCTATTTTTTTTATCCTAGAATAAAGTAAATGTCTTACAAAAAAGTATAAGCTAGTAATACAGGAGAAAAAAGAAGAGTATATAAAACAAAGTATTAGCATAGATCCTTTTATATTAAGATTGTATACACGCAATTGAAGATATATTCGTGCGACAGTTTAATCGAAGCATAATTCAACCATTAAATCAATATCGTTTGTTACAATCTCGACAAGATTACGCGAGAAGAAGAGCAGGAGAAGGGACGAATAGCCGCGGCAAATAGAGAGGAATTAATCCGTTCAACTTGACAGCGATTTCACGGGGGAAATTAAGAGAATACCGCAGAAGGTGGTT